GCGAATCCCCGTCTACGCGACCAACCCCGTCATATCGCTCGGCCGGACGCTGCTCCAAGACCTGTACGAATCCACGCCGCTCGCCTCGTCCATTATCCCCACCGAAGCTCTCAGCGAGTCCGCATACTCCTTCTCTTCGGCGCTCACGGGTGGAAAGAATCCCAACATTCTTCTCCAGGCGCCTACGTCGCAAGAGATTGCCGATTACTTCGCGCGCATAAATCCGCTTCGATATTCCCAACCGCATCAACCCATCCCTTCGCCGCATTCGCCTCCGCTCAATGGTCTCACCATTACCGCATACAGCGCTGGACACACGTTGGGAGGTTCAATATGGCATATACAGCATGGAATGGAGTCGGTCGTCTATGCCGTCGACTGGAACCAAGCCAGAGAGCATGTCCTCTCCGGAGCTGCTTGGCTCGGAGGGCCTGGCACTGGTGGCTCTGAAGTTCTGGAGCAGTTGCGCCGTCCAACTGCCTTGATCTGCAGCAGCAAAAACACCAGTATGGTCAAGGTGGCTAGATCGCCCAACAAGCGAGACGAGGCCCTCCTCGAGATGATTCAAGACACAGTGGCCAAGGGCGGAACCGTCTTGATCCCCTCAGACTCGAGTGCTCGTATACTGGAACTGGCCTATCTTCTTGAGGAAACATGGGAGCGGGAGGCAACAAACGCGGAAGGGGGCGGTTCACTACAAAGCGCAAAAGTCTATCTTGCGAGTCGAACGGGTGGTGCAACAATGCGATACGTACGCAGTATGTTGGAATGGATGGAGGAGGGCATCGTGAAGGAGTTTGAAGCCAGCGCTGCGGATCAAGATCGGAGGAACAAAAGCGGCAAAGAGGAAGACCGCGCCAGAGTCCCGTTCGACTTCAAACATATCACACTGGTTGAGCGCAAGACCCGCGTAGCTAGGATGCTAGGCGCCAATGGACCGCGAGTGATACTAGCAAGTGATGCGACGCTCGAGTGGGGATTCTCTAAAGATGCTATTCGAAGCCTGGCGGCCGACGAAAAGAACTTGGTCATCCTCACTGAAAGAGCTGGCCAACTGGGCGCTCAGAAGAAGGGTCTCGGCCGATATCTCTGGGAACTGTGGAACCAGCGCAACGCTTCGCCAGGGCAGGACGCTCCTTCTACAACCATAGTCGACGCCGCGGGCGATCAAGCGCCGCTCAATACTATACGGACAGTCGCACTCGAGGGAGACGAGGTTCCGCTTTATCAGCAGTTCCTTGCCGGCCAGAGACAACGGCAAACTACCATGGGCGGTGATAATGCAGCAATGCTCGAAACATCCGCTGATGTTGTCGACGACCGATCATCCACCGAGTCAGAGAGTTCGGAAGGCTCTGGTGATGGATACCGAGGAAAGGCCCTCAACGCGACCGTCGCTCTTCAACATGCACGAAACAAGCTTGGCATGACAGACGCGGAGTTGGGTGTCAACGTACTCTTACGCCGCAAGAACGTCCACGACTATGAAGTGCAAGGAAAGAAAGGAAAAGAGAAGATGTTCCCGTTCCAGGCCAAGAAGCGTCGAGCGGACGACTTTGGTGATCTGATCCGACCCGAAGATTTTGCGCGCGCGGAAGAGGAAGACAACACTGCTGGGGAAGCTCTTCGTGGTGAAGGGACGAAGAAGGAGAATGCTGTTGGCCAGAAGAGGAGGTGGGACGACCTACTGAACAACACCGACACTAACAAGGCCAACGCCAATCAAAAACGACGGAAAGACAAAGAGGCTCGAGAAGGCGAGGACGGAGAATCGGACAGCGAACCAGAAGACGATCCAGACAAAGTGGAAGGTCCTTCGAAAGTCATCATTGAGTCGGAGGCCCTGGAAATTCGGTGTCGCATCGCCTTCGTCGACTTTTCAGGCCTGCACGACCGGCGCACGATCCAGCAGCTTATTCCACTTATCAAGCCTCGCAAGCTCATCTTCGTGGGTGGCGAGGAAGGCGAGACCCTGGAGCTTGCAGAGATCAGTCGCATAGCGCTGAACGCAAACACCGATTCCGCCAATGCCATCGATGTCTTCACACCCACAGTCGGCGTTATGATCGACGCGAGTGTCGATACCAACGCTTGGAGTGTCAAGCTCAGCCGCAGTATGGTGCGCAACCTCCGTTGGCAGAACGTTCGCGGCATGGGTGTCGTCGCCATCACTGGTCGCCTCGCAGCTGCAAGCCTGGAGCCAGAAGTCAAAGAAGAGGCGGATACGCCTGCGAAGAAAAAAGCTCGACTCGACGCCCCTGCCGTCCCCGTCTCTAGTGACAAAAACGACGACACACCCATTCTCGATGTCGTTCCTACGAACATGGCCACCGCTGTCCGATCCGTCGCACAACCTTTCCATGTCGGCGACCTTCGCCTTGCTGATCTGAGGAAGCTCATGAATGCTAATGGCATGCAAGCTGAGTTTAGAGGCGAGGGTGTATTGGTCATCAACGGCACGGTAGCTGTGAGGAAGACGGCTACTGGTCAGATTGAGATAGATGGAGGGGCTTATGGTAATCTGGATCCAAGGAATAATGATGCGGCGACTTTCTCTAGGGTCAGGAGGCAGATATATGAGGGCTTGGCTGTGGTTGCTGGAGGCTGAGCGCTTAGAGGTGCCGTTCAGGCATTGTGTTAGGCATTCGTGGATTACGTTACATTGTTCGCTGCTCACAGACAAAACAGAATTCTACGAATAGATGAAGTATACACTATTCGACTTCTATGAGACTAGTGCTCATGTAGGCAGGTGCACTATGCTAATATGGGTACGTCAAAACCAACGGGTACAATATGAGCGGTCGAATCTAGTAATTTACCTCTACCAGTGTAAGGCAGATGCTAGGCAACATGGTGACCTAACATATTGGGCAAAAATCAGCTAGGTTTCCTTACCGGTCAATAGGCTTTTTCACCGGCGCAAGGCTTTGCGTAGCGTTCCTTGGTATCGCAAATGAATTTGGGTTGCGCATCCGTTTCTATTAGCATGCGTCTTCGTGTGACTTCTGCTCAGCTACAAAAGGTCGCTCTCATTGAACAGTTCGTCGATAACTGTTGTACGTGTTGGTGAGAGGTCATACAGCATGATGTTCGCTCATATTAGCCAATCAGCCGAATGCAACAGTCTACTTGGGGAGGCACGAATGGCTTGCGGTAACACCAGCTCGGTTACTCAGGCTGCATGTGGCGGCTGCCACGTTTAAGGCTGATCGAACTTGCCTTCTGACCTAGTTACTGTCTGCCATTATCGCCACCCCTCTATCGTCGACATCACTCTTCCGTCGTCCGAATGCGTCATCATTAACCAGCTTCCGACTGTAGTTACATGACCGATTGTTGATCGCACGACGCCTCAAACCCCAGCTTCACGTCGAGCTCATTTCGTCGCATACAAAGCTGTCGACTGGCACCGGTCCCTCAATCTCGCTCTTCATGCGCCTCCTGCATTTCGGAAACGGTCATCTCAGCCTGGTTGAGTTCCAGGGCAATGGCACCCCACCTTACGCCATTCTTTCGCATACGTGGGGGTCAGATCTCGACGAGGTCAGCTTGAAGGACATCGCAGATGGAGTTGCTCTGCAAGACATTACAGATAGCACAAGCCGCAGGAAACCGGGATATACTAAAATTGTCTTCTGCGCAGAGCAAGCAGCAAAGGATGGTTTAGAATACTTCTGGGTTGATACCTGCTGCATCGACAAATCAAGCAGCGCGGAGCTCTCAGAAGCAATCAACTCCATGTTTCGCTGGTATCAAGAGGCGGCAAAATGTTATGTCTATATGTCGGACGTATCGATCAAAGACACCAGCTCCTTCCAAGCCAGCCGATGGTTCACTCGCGGATGGACATTACAGGAACTTGTTGCCCCGAAGGTCCTCGGTTTCTACTCGGTCGAGGGCGAGCATATCGGTGATAAATCCTCATGGTTACAGGAGATAGTGAACATAACAAGGATACCGAAGCGCGTCCTTCAGGGTGGTAATCTCTTTGAGACGAGCGTTGAGGAGCGATTATCGTGGGCAGATACGCGTTCAACTAAACGAGAAGAGGACCTCGCGTACTCTCTTTTGGGTATATTCGATGTCCATATGCCGCTCATATACGGTGAGGGCAGAAGGAACGCCTTCTCAAGGCTCCAAGAAGAGATACTCAAGTCTCAAAGCGGTGAGGCACACTCTACAGGACCCCGTCCGTTGTAGACCCAAGCGGTTACCAACTAGCCAAGAAAAGCGCTAACAGCTTCTACAGCAACGGCAATTATGGTGGAATCTAGGCGCATGGGACCAGGTGGGGTTCCCCAGTCGCATAATGCAAACAGTTGCGCACATATAACAGGGCGGACGGGCAATATCAGGGTCGGCGGTCGCGCTGATAATGTCAATACCGGAATTTCTCTCAGAAGATTTGTAAGTGAGATCTTCTTAAACTCAGGCTTTGCTTGAATGTACTCCCACATTTTAGTCGCGAGCGAGCTCTCGAGGTTGACGCCGGCATCATCACTTCAAGTCGAACAGTGCATATCTCTAACGCGTTACTAGGCATCAGACTTACCCTTTTCGACAGGAATCTCCAGAGAAACTGGGTCTGTGGACGTTGGCCTCGATTCTAGTGATATCAACACCGGAGTTAGAATCTGGTGATCAAGTGTCGCCGATGTGGCTGATCCGTTTGAGAAACCCGGATGTATACTATCCATACCGCTGGCGAGACATTTACCGAGTATGTAATATCAGCATACACGTCTTACAGGTCCGAGAACGAGAACTTTCAAAGGAGCTAAAAGGAACAGCATGTTCAACGTGGCCCAGAATGAGACATCGGAAGCGACCAAAGTATCACGCGCAAACCAAACGCTGTATCAGTCGACGTCATGAATAGCGTTCATTACATGAATCCCCGTCACGACAAACAACATTGATATGATATACGACCGCTATGTTTGCCTTTCCAACTTGGCAGGTTGAGAACGCGTCAACGAGCTAGATCGGTAGAGTATCTACTCTTCATCGGTGATACCAGTCGACGACCCCTTGACATGGTCGCCGGTGATATTTCCAGTGTACTCCATTCGCTTCATCCCCGTTTGGTCTTTCCTGACCACGATGCCAGTGTTACCATTGCTAACGCGCTTGTTCGCAGCGATACTCCCAGACTCTCCCACGAACGCATTTCCAACCTTATTTCGTATTCCAGTGGTAATACCATCCACTGTATTGCCTGTCACATTGCCTGTCTTTTTAATGATCTTTGTGTCCTATCGCTATGTTAGCAACTGGTCTAGAGACAACAAATACATTTCTTACAGGCTCGTTAGGCCGCCTTGCGTTACGTTTCTGGTCATCAAGGCCCATGATTTGCAGTATGGTACAACTGCGGATGATTTGATGTTGGCGCTGTCCTGGATAGATGGACAGCGAAGAGGCAGAACATGTTTTGCGCTCGAGATGAGAGCGCGTGATATATACCTATGCCGTCCGGCTCTGTTCTATCAGGCTGAGGGGATCTCAGCTTGCTGCCTTGGAGCGTTCATCCAATGGCAGACCTAGGCTGGTCATTCATATATTTTTTTGCTGCCCAACTGGCCAACGACCAACGACAAGTGATCGGATGTCGTCATGTGTAACCTGTACAGCCTGCACCCCATGAACGCCTACGAGCCGAGTCCTTTGGGGTCCTCCTGAACTAGCCACTTAGGTTGCGCATCATTCGAGGCTGTGCATGCCGAACTGGCCTATCCTCATGGATCCAACAGCCCTGGAGGGACCTTTTCTCTGCTCGGCTAACCCTAGAAAGGTCTGCTGGGGTGGCGCATGAGAGATGCGCCACCCCAGACCTTCAGGAATCGGGACAATCCGCGCTGACACCCGTCGCACACAATGGTCTTTATATACCTATCCCTGGACACATCTGAAGCCAAGATCCCACTCTACATCTAGCCACACATTTTCATCCCACTCCGTCCCATCACCGACCTCGATATCTCGCTACCAGCAGAACCGTATCTGCGCCTGTACGACTTCGCCGCCGCCACCTCTCTTCGTCCAACTCCTCAACTACATCATCGATCGAATCCGCATCGCGGGAAAAGTCTTTCCGTTTACAAAGATTGGTAGACCTTCTGGTCCAGCGGAATGGGCCTATTCAAGAGCGCTTGGGATCGGGACTTCCTGATCACCGTGGTGGCAGTATTCGGCATCGCCAGTATCAGTCTGGCACTAGTTTGGGGCTCTCCCTGTCCTGAGGCCTCTCCTATAACGCAAAACAACAGCACCGGTCCTACAGGTGATATCACAGCGGGTCACGACATCGGCTCTGCTTCCACTGGCATCGACGGGAAGCCGCCGTCGACATGACCGTGCCATTATGGCTGATTGTGACCCTGGAGCTGTGGGCGAGCATGGCCGTGATGGTATGGATGAGCGTGCCTGTATGGCATCCCTCTTCCACCTGCAAACTAGTTCAACTGACTGTGCCTCGGGAGGAAACAACGGCTTGTGTCTGGCGATGTTGTCAATGCGGTGTGAGTACTCCTTCCCTGGCAGGTCGCGACTGGATAGCGAGCTGACATCCTTTTCTACAGTACTGTACCATGTTTCTCCCCGTGCTCCCAATACGGCGATGTACTGGCCGACGGACCAGGCAAACGGAATGGGTTTTACGAGCACGACCGTGGGATTAGTGCCTTACTACGACTGAGTTAGCAGAGGATGCGGATATATACATGTCAGATAATAGATTGGGGTCTTGTGTAACATACTCTTATCTGTTGCCGCCATAGAACTTGATTACGCGCCAGCCTGCGGCTTCTCTTTTTGGTCCTCCTGTGACACGGATGCGCGGCCTGCTATGACGCGCTCTCGCGCGTCCATTCCTTCGAGCAAGCCTGCAAGCGTCGAGACACGCGCATCTATGGTACTGGTTGATGGCGCATCATGATGTCTGTTCTGCGACTTTTGTACGAAGGGTTAGCATTTCCCTAGGTAATGCGTAGGGTTGCGTCTCACTGTCGCACTTGCCTAGATAAGCGCGCCGATGCCCCACATCCTTGCCTCAAATTGAAGGGCAGCAACTGCGCCACAACTGCATAGCGGCCAAGTCTTTGATCTAACGGGTTGCGCAAGTATTTTCTTTCTATGAGTCCTCTCTAAACGACTGCACGAAAATCGCGCTCGACCAGACACACCATGCCGTCCAGTACTGACGAGGCGCAAGCGCTCGGCCATTCAGAGTTTTGGGACCAACGGTACGCAAAGGCCGACGGAACCAAGCCAACACATGAGTGGTTTCGCGCTTTCGAGGACTTAGAGCCGTTCTTCAAGAAGCATTTGTTCGACAAGACAAGGGAAGAGGGGAAGGATGGAAAAATTCTTCACTTGGGCAGCGGCGATAGTGTAGGTTTCCCATCATCATGCTGCGGAACGCCGTGAGCGGCTCAACTCCAACACCCAAGCGATGATAGAATCGCAAAACATTACTTTCTTTTCACTAACAATGCGCCGTTGCTTTTGTGACTAAAGATCTCAAATCACTGACCCGTTCCCAGACCGTCCCATACGATCTCCTAAAGCGAGGCTACACGAACCAGCTCTGTATTGACTTTTCCTCAATAGTCGTCGATCTGATGAAATCGCGGCACTCAAATGAACCTCAAGTAGAGTGGAGAGTTGGTGATGTACGGGATATGAAGGGTATCGATAGCAACTCTGTGGATGTCGCCTTCGACAAAGGCACGCTAGATGCCATGATCTACGGCAGTCCATGGAGTCCACCCGAGGAGGTTATGGAGAACAGCGGAAGGTATCTCAGCGAGGTACGTAGACTGACGAGGCACGAATGTGTAAGCTCCGACACATGCTAATTGCGCAAAGGTCTGGAGGGTATTGAAAGATGACGGTGTCTTTCTCTACATCACATACCGACAGCCTCACTTCATCAAGCCTATCCTGAACCGGGATAACGAGTGGGATCTTGAGATGGAAATCATGGGTGGAGGAGACACTTTCCAATACTTTGGCTTCATCCTCAAGAAGTATACCGCAAGCGCAAAATGAAAATCCAGCCGATGGGACTGCGTTTGGAGATGAGTTGCATCCAAAGGGTCAAGATGAGTCAAGAGTATCAAGAGGCTTGATTCGTTGTAGGTGCGCTTCAAGAGGCGTGGACTGTGTAAAGTTCTCCATTAAATGATATCAAGATTTACGATATCTGCAGGATGAAGACGAAGATTAAATTCCCCGTACCTCATGCAATGGCGGGGTTCGCTAGTCGCACGGGCCATGTCCTCTCTGCTTCTTCTCTTTCCCGACCCTCTTCCCTCTCAGCTGTTCTCCACACGGTGCATCTGGTATCGATCGAACTTTCCTAGTTTGCCACCATCTACACAGACACTGTCTTGCATGAAACCGTCGACTTTCCATCCTTGAACCCTGGCGTGCACACGATCGGTGCGGAACTCTCGAATACTAGCTCGACGCTTCCGTTCTTCGACCCATGAAACTGGATGTTCGCGCTCGCATTCGCCGCATTCATGCCGATTCCAGCGCCGATAATGATGGCTTCCGGAGTCATGTTGAAGCCGCTTCCCAGACCAAAGTCGCTGGATCCAGCCTGGAGTCCGCCTGTATCGCGTGCGTTAGTTAAAACCGGCCGCATAGTAATTGGAATACATACCTCCGTACGATACATCGGCTTGCCAGTTGATGCCGCAGCCTACACCAATGTCGCCGAATGGTGAAAGGTTACCCGCCGCAGCGACATTGCCGGTTCCGCTAGTCGATGTGACATTTTTTGTCAGACTCGTAATCTCGACGCCGTTGGCTCTTCGGTGTTGATGCGGAGTTGCTGATGCGAGCATCTGCATCGCGAGGAACGGTAAGACGAATTGGGCGAACATGATATCGATGACGTTGACGATGCGACGCGGTTTCAGAAGAGGAGGGCCGATGTATATATAGAGGGAGAACTGCCGTTGGGTAAGGCTGCAGATGGTACAAAGTTGTACTTATAGTCGGTGCTTCTCAAGGTTTGATGATCAGGGGCCCGGCGAGACTGTCTTCATCACCATTCAGGCTATTCATTACTTCTGTGCTTCTAGTCGACTTCCATCTGTTCTACAGTACCTCCCGGACGATCCGGTAATTGCAATGGCGAGTAAGAACCGCCATTCGGTCCGCACCCAAGTCTGATAGGGGGCTTACGGTGCGTTAGCAGGAAACCTAAACTCCACGCGACGATGGCAACTCTATTTTGACAGCCGCAAGTATTTTTGTATACAACGTACTGATGCTCTGCTGAACATGGAGAATATGTTTCGCGATGTTGTGGACGGACGCAGGGTCGCAAACTAATTGCCATCTAGACGGTAGCTTTCGCGTTCGGCGAGATCTCGGGCCTTCTCCAGGAAGTGTTGGGCTGTACTAACGGCCCTCATGGGTCTAACCCTGCCGTCAGCGATGCTGACGTAGATCACGGTTCGTAGATGGTAAACTAGCTGTGTCAGATTGTGCACCGCCAGAGGAGGCGCGCCACCTTGACGTGTTATATTAGGAGGTGTGCTTATAAGGCTGGGCAGTGCTTACACGATACCTCACTTCAGTTCATCGCATCTCGTCCAAGATGTTCACCTCTTTGGTCTTTGGTTTGCTTCTGGGAGCGGCGCATTCAGTCGTGGGCGAAGAGCCGAATGCACCCTACCCAACAGGAACGAACAGTTCTTACCCCACAGGAAACGACTCCTGTCTCCACACACACGATGGAGGGTTCACTCCGGACTTCTACCTTTCGGTTACATACGAGAACCACACTGTAGCATGCCAGACTCGCATGTCTGCGTTGGTAAACGGTACATCCCCTGGACCCGAACTACGTCTCCCAGCCGGGAAGACGAGTTGGGTGCGAGTCTGCAATGACATGGAAGAGTACAACACAACCATGGTATGGATAAACTAGACTATCGCACGACTATATAACTAATACGCACTAGCATTGGCATGGCCTCAGTCAACGTACTGCACCTTTCAGTGACGGCTCACCTGTCAGCCAATGGCCGATCGCACCTCACAGATGCTTCGACTATGAGATTCATCCTGAAGTCGAGGATGCCGGAACCTACTTCTACCACTCTCATATCGGCTTCCAGGCCATCTCTGCAGCAGGGCCGCTCATCATCGAAGACTTTGGTCCTCCTCCGTTTGAGTACGATGAAGAGCGCATCGTCTTCCTCCAAGACTACTACAACAAGACTGATGAGGTAATGGAAGATGGTCTCGTTGCGACGCCATTCAAGTGGACTGGTGAGGTCAACGCAGTGCTTCTAAATGGTGTCGGTGTTGCCATTGGTGAAACAGCTGGC